TCTTCCTTGTCAAGGTAACAAATGCTTATATTCAAATATTCTGGACAGCGAACGAAAGAGGAAAATGGAGGCCCAGAAGAGGAGTGGAGAGTCCTAGGCCCAATATATTCCTACAAAATAATTACAAAACGAGTTTCATCGCTCCACCTGTGTGTTGACGTTTTAGCTTGTAGGCCTTGGACATGAACAATAATTATGAAAGTTTGTGCGTAATATGATATTGGTTCAACCTGGAATTCACATTTCACCTGACAATCGCTTTTTGTGTTGCTGCTAAAAAGTGCACATACAAAATCGGTTATTTGCTGTTCAAACATACTATCCTTTACGTGTTATTAATCGATTTTTTTAATCGTTTTTTTCTAACTGATCCCGTTTCTAATGCGAGAAAAAAAGAGATTTTTTATCAATTTTATTCTTTCCAGGCCCTTAAAAACCTTATGGAATGCTTGCCCTTGTCAATTTCATGATAAATTTTGTTTAGAATGAATATCGGTAAATAATGCATTAAATATATCTTCCCAGAGTCATTTCCCTCTTTTAAATGGCAAGTTTTTGCAGTTGTGGAAACAAACTTTATAAAAAGCTAAAATTAAATCTTATTGTTTTGTATTTCCTTTGCAATTGTTCCCATGAGAAATGTTTATGAAATCTAGAAAAAAAGTAATTGGAATGTAATCATCAATTAACAGGTGTTTGATGGGTCTGCTGAAGAAGTGGAGAGGAGCAGTACTTTATACCATGGGCTGGTTCACAGCAGAACAAGTGACTTGAATGTTAAACTCAGCTTACCTAGGCTACCAGATCCCTCTCACACTAGCCTGCTCGGCCTTAAAGTACCAGTTTATAATGAGGTTAGAATATGTCATTTTATTTTGGTAGTTACTGTAGTTTGCAGAGATTTCTTATTTTACATGTTCATTTATGTGTTCCTCGATTTTCATATTATTTCATTAAGTGATGATTTCATTTCATTTCATTTATTTATTCAGACAAGTGTCTTGATATATATGTGGCATGGATTTTTGGTTTGTCACTTTAGGTTGCTGATGATGAAGGCTTCAACGAGTCCATGAGTAGTGACATGGCATCCTTTACACCAGAAGATGTGGATAAGAAGATCAACCTATGGGAAGCTGCAATTACACATAAACTGCATACAAAATACACATGGGAAACAATTGGAAGGTAGGATAGATGACTGTATTAAGCAGTATGTAATTACTCAGCATATTAGGCAGAACGTAAGACAGTCGTTAGTGCAGTGCATGAGGTACAGTAGTTGTGAGGTACTGTAGCATCTGTGGTGGTTAGCAGTGCAGCACGTATGGTAGTAGCATTGCAGCACGTATGACAGCATGCAGCACGTATGGCAGTTAGCAGTGCAGCATATATGGCAGTTAGCAGTGCAGCATGTAAGGCATTTAGCAGTGCCGCACTTGCCGTTTTCGCGCGAATAAGCGCCTCGTTTGAATAAGCGCCCCTGTCGAATAAGCACCCCTCATAACGAGAAAATTTCCTTAAGCGCCCCGTTTGAATAAGCGCCCCCTTCTAATTTGAATAAACGCCCCTCAATAACCCAATCAATCCTGGGACTGTGGATGTTGGCATGATTTGAAGTGTGGAGTGGAATCTCATTCTCCTTTAGTCAATATCAAAGTGAGGATATTTATCTTTGACAGAATGATGAGAGCTCCCTGGACAGACAGTATATTTCAAACTTTCATCTTCTTAGACTTTCATTTGTCTATAGCCTAGTCCTACTACTCCTTTTCCGACAATTTGCACCTTTAACACACTCACATCTAAGTTTTCAAGAAAACCTGCAATGATCATACCGTCCTGCTATTCTCAATCGACCGATGGCAAACAAGCTTACCACCACCACCACTAATTTCATCTGCTATTCTGCTGTTATGTAATACTGTACTCACAATATTCTTGTCATGACAAGCCATGCTCTCTGGACGATTATCTTTTCCGCCGCAGCACCATTCGTAATTTGCAGTTTCCTGATGTCCTTATTTTATCGTTTTTCATTCAAAATGTGCCTCTTGGATAAGTTCTCATAAGAACCCCTCGATTTTCATCTATTTCCATAAGCGCCCCCTCAATTTTCATTCTGTTTTTATAAGCGCCCCATTTGAATAAGCGCTTATTTGCGCGAGTACTGTATATATTTTTAACTTTACTGTGTTTGGTATGATGACTGTCCGAGTGGAAATAATTAAGGAATATTCTTTCACAGAGTTGAGTATGTATAAACATAAGTGTTGGATGGACGGAACAACATGGTTGAAACATAGAGGCAAAATCCACTATGACCAAGATTTTTTTAAATTATTAAACCTGCAGAGCCAATAGCATCTATGATATGAAAAAATAGAGTACCAAGATATTTTTATAAGATAAACATACAGTATATAAAATAAATAAATAAATTATTCCAAGGTAAAATAGTATAAAATAGTTATAATAAAATAAAATAGGGAATTTGCATGTTTATAGACTTCTTTATTACCTCTTATTCTGTTCAACTCGTGTACAGCAGTCCGTCTTGCTTGGATCAGCAGATCTTCTCGTGCCTTCTCCAACCTAGCTTCCTGAACAAAAACCGAAAGTATAGTAACAATGTGAATGACATTTCTATTGTTCATATTAAATATAATACACAAGTCTCAGTCCTATTTGCTGTAGAAAACTGTACAATATTTGAGTACATAGCACTCAAGTGTCTGATCAGAGCAAAAAATGTCTTATCAGACTTTTACTATACAATATTTGAGTACATAGCACTCAAATGTCTGATCAGAGCAAAAAATGTCTTATCAGACTTTTATCAAACATTTGTACGATGTTAAGAGCTTGTTCCCTAAAACTTCCCTCCTTAAGCACTAAGACATTAAACACTCCAAAATGATCAGCTCTGTAAATTACAATTCACAACCCACCCACATCATACCTTTTCCTCCTTCGACACAGTGTTGCGTCGGGCTATGTTGTGCATTCGCTCCATGTAAACATGCGTCTCCTTATCAATGCGTTCCAACTCTTCCAGAGAGAACGTCAGAGTTAGTCGCGGAATTGGCACATGATTATTGCATAAAAAATGCTATAAAAAAAACACATTGAATAACATAACATTATGCAGTATACACTATCACATATCAAAACCAGCAAAACTT